GTCAGTTATGTTCTACTTAATGCTGCTCAGGAGTCCCATCCAAGGTATTAAATATTAACAGAGTCTTTCAGTTGATCCAAAGTGTCAAATTTTACAAGCTAGTTTTTTAAAGATATTGTTCATTTCAGGGGAGTTAGCATACTTGAGCACAAAACGCAAAACAGGAACTACGACCCAATGAAACGGGACCAAACAGGTTTCTGCTCTGTTGTTTGGAAACTTGTAGTAAATGTGCAGTTATGCAAATGAGACAAACTACAATCCGGAGGTGTGTGATGGACAAAACAGAAAACACCACGAACATATTTAACATTTCTGAGATGTTCAGGCTGTCTCTAATGAGAAAGTCAGAACTAACGATCAAGGAAGTAACGAATCGTAAAAGCCAGCGTAGTTTCGACCGCTCCCTCAAACATGCATTCACAACAATTTTTCACTTTCTCGAACTCGTGTAGAAAACTATGCCGTGGTCCTGGACATCATGACTTGGACGATGGGGACTGATTTATGATACAACCAAGTTTAAACATTTGCATCATGGAGGTCTTTGAACTGTTTCATACTAACTCTAAGGAACCAAAGCAGCCTTCAACTTTTCATTTTTGTGATCAGGTATTTCCTGTTGAGAGGTGTTCTACATGAACACGACATGTGGTTCACAAAGTATCACTAGCTGACTTCTGCATCTTTGTTTTTTGTTAACGTGTGCTTAAAGATGCGACTTTTCATGACATCTTTACTTTTTTTTAAATATTGCATCTCACTGATAATCAGAGTGTATTTAATCTACATGGCTGATATTGTATATTCTGAATTATATTTTCAGATTTTTGCCATTCTGGGCTCATTCTTTTAGTCAGCGTTGAGTGTCATACATCCTAAAACTGACTCTTTTCTCCGGGTGCAATGTAAAGTCCCCACCTTTGTGTGAGTATGCCATATCTGACATTAAAAAATGACCCCTCAGAAACAAACAAAAATGAATTGTTTTGCTGACTAACCACAGCATTTTTTAAAGTGAAAGTTTTTGTTTGCATGTTTTGGAGCTCCTCGTAAAGTTTGGTGGATATACACCTTTTCCAATGTGGTCTACGAAAGAAAAAAACAAAACAGAGTGAAATCTTCAGAATGAAACAGAATGAAGCTTTTCCAAACCAGAGCCTGCATCTTATAAAGTCTTATATCTGGCATAATCTAATCCAGCTTTGACCGGTCTAATAGTTTTTAATGTGATCCAGATGCAAAGAAAAGCAGCTCTTTTAGAGCGTTCTCAAGTTTGAAAGCAGACAGAATTACAGGTTGGACTAAAATGTCTAATATAGTTTTACATCAGTGAAGTATGGAAAAGCAGCGTACGTTACATTTCCTTGAGTTTTTTCCTAAACAGCCAAATCAGGAACTAACCATTAAAGTAGGAAAGTCCAAAATCTCACAACAGCTAAAAGCTTGTTTTTACCATTAATGGCCCAAAAGTGATTGAAGTTTTGTAGAACATGTGCACATGCATGTGGCATCGACTCAAAAGAAGACGACGTGTCAGTAAACATTTTACAAGCGTTTTATTGAAGCATAGTTTGGCTATTGGTTCTGTGAGCGGCTGTTTGAGGTCATCAGGAGCATCTGTGGCACCCGGTGTGTTCCTCTTTTACTTAAGGGCTGACTGCAGCCTAATCTCTCTCTAGTCTGCTTCCCTCCGCAGGTATTGCATCGGTCTGGTCATGGGTTAGCTGTCTTTGTTTAGGACATTTGCATTTACAACACTTGCACAGACATAATTCATTCAAACATCACGTACACACACCAACTAACACCCGGTGTGTTCCTCTTTTACTTACGGGCTGACTGCAGTCTAATCTCTCTCTGCTCTGCTTCCCTCCACAGGTCTTGCATCTGGTTTCTTTGTTTAGGACATTTGCATTGACAACACTTGCACAGACATAATTCATGCATACATCACGCACACACACCACTGACTCTGTGTATTCTCACAACCCCGTATTGGTTTGGCTTAAATTTGACATCATTTAAGGGAATAAAGACAAGCTTTAATTTTTGAAACTTGGTGTGTCTCTCCTTTTATTGAGCCAGGTCGTAACAGTGGTAACATTCTGATATCCAGTTCTGTAAAAGTATTTGCATAAACAGCAAAACATCAACACAAATCTGAGTCAGCTATACACGACTAAAACATGTCAACAGTTTCCAACACAGAAGTGCTGCTTCATTAATGTAACAGGATTTGTAACTTTGCCAAAAAGGAAACAGCTGATTTCCTGGTGTGTTTTTAACCGATGAAGCTTGCCAGCCATCCCACTGTTGCTCCGACACCAGCCACGGCTGCACTGGCAGTTCCTGACAGACCCGCTGCACCTACAGCAGATTGGACACGTTTGAGGATTTGCACATGATCAGTGAAACATGTGATCACACTATCAGAGAAGCAGCTTTTTGTTAATGATTATTCCAAAGAAGTGAATGAAACAGCAACACAACTGCCATGACAGTGTTGCATAACTACACCCAAATTAATTATTTTTCAAATTCAGTTTCTGTTGTAACAATTTGAAAGTTGTGCAGGAGGTTAATTTGATGTTGCTGCACTTCAGAGGATGCTGTGAAAGTTAGAAGTCACATGGTTCACCTCTGACTACTGCTGCAGCACTGATTGCATCACCTTTTACAAGCAACACTTAAAACTAGGATAACATACTGAGTTATGGTTTTTACCTGCTGACTGCAAAACAGCCACCAGACTCCCTGCCGCCACCCCTCCTCCGTTAGCAACTGCAGCAGAAGACATCATGCCTGCTGCCCAGGAGCCTGCTGCGATTCCAGCTGAGGTGAAACCAGCGGCTCCCACAACAAAAGGAGCAGCGGCCACTGCACCCACTGCACATGGACGAGAACACAGCACAACAGGTGATTCGAAACAAATGAAGAAACAAATGTGCATCTCCAGTCAGGTCAAAGGTTTTAAACTCCTGCACATCAGCTTTGTCCTACCTGCTCCCACTGCACCAGCCACAGCTGTCACTGAAACACAAGAAGAACAAACATGTCATTGGAGACAGCTGCTCTGATGAATGTCAGAAATTCCTACGTGTCACATGTACATGGGAGCTGTACAGTGACTCACCAGGATCCATGTCTTATCCTGTTCTGACCAAACTTGCACTGAACTGAGCTTTTATACCTCTGTAAGGTTTCATTTCTTGAGAAACAAAACTGTGTAATAATCTTAGCAGAAGAGGGCAGCAGAGAGCCAGAAAGCTGCAGAAACTGTGACTGCAAGGCATCATTTTAAGAGGAAAATGTGAAGAAAGACAAATGTAAGGACTATTTCTGCATAGAAACTGCATTAAGTTAACCCCTCTTAGTATTATTTTTTTCCAGATAGACAGACAGAGCCACACTGTATACAATATAGAGAAAATAATAACCAAACAGTGTTCAGATTTTTTTTTATCATTTCCTTTATTGATATCCTTCATTTTGAACAGTTTGACAAAATAAATGTGTTTTGCAAAAAGATAAACTTTATTTTCCTTCACATTTCAATCAAGTTTTGCTTTACTGACAGATAAAGTTGGACTTCACTGATATTGCTGGCATTTGTTTTCCGATTTTCAAACACAAATACATTGTTTAAAAAAATAAAAATATTATTCCTTCATGATTTCCAGCTTGATCTCAGATGAGAGCAGCCAAAAGTCCCACCGCTCCTCCAGCAGTGCCCACGCCTGCAGTGGCAGCCGTACCCAGACCAGCCATGCCTATTCACACAAAAACAGAATATTAATTAATGCCGTCAAGCAACTGAGCTACAGAGAAGAAATCTTTGTTCTCAGTGTGACATTATGACATGCTATTACATTGAAGGTGGATTAGACGAATAGATCTGAGCAATTATTGGTAAATAAAAAGTTGATTATTACAGCATTGATTATGTTTTTTACCTGCTGACTGCAAAACAGCCACCAGACTCCCTGCTGCCACCCCTCCTCCGTTAGCAATGGCAGCAGACGACATCATGCCTGCAGCCCAGGAGCCTGCTGCGATTCCAACGGAGGTGAAACCTACGGCTCCCAGAACAACAGGAGCAGCGACCACTGCTCCTCCTGACAAGAACACAGAGGAATCAAGTGATCAGGACACTTTAAAAAGCATCACGTGTAATTATTATTATTTTTGAAGTGAAAAAGCACAACAGGTGAATCATAAAGGCCGTCTGTCTTACCAGCGCCTGCTGCAACAGCTAATCCAGTTGTTACTGAAACAGAAGAAAGAAACAAAAATGAACATCCATGTGCAGCTCAGCTGACGTTTACTGCGATGGTTGAAGTAAAGTAAATTCCAAAGAAATAGATCTCTTTAAGAGTTTTATTGCCACTTTATCGTGTGCATGCAAGATCTCCGAAAGACAAAAGGAAAGATGAAACATGATTACGCACTATCTAACTGGTAAGTTTGTCTCTCATTCTCCTCCCAGCAAAGCAACAAAAAGGGCTGAGGTCATCACGCCTGAATCCACTAAGAAAACACTCAGCGAGTGTCTGAGGTAATTTCCAACTAGAAGCCTTATCTTGAATTCTGAGTAATTCTATGAAGGCCTTCATGAAAAGGCTTCTTCTGCACCTGACACAAGCAAGACTGGATGAGAGACAAACCTCTACGTAAGAGAACGCACATTTAGTCCATGAAATATACAAAAGAATAACATCCTAAGTGTAACCAGAAAAGAACATTCAGAGAGAATGTAAAGATTTCCAACACGGTAGCTTTAAATGAATGTATTTAAGTCAGAGAGAGAGTTGTACTCACAGAGACCCATTTTCCTCAAGGATAAGGAGCCCGACGCTGGACTGGGCCTTATATAGGAGGATCAGCTGTTTCTTGATAAACGAAACTGTAGGAGGATCTGCATCACTGACTCCTCTCCAGTGCCTCTCTGGTGCCCTCTAATGTTCAGATGTTGTCCATGAGTATTACTTTCCATGAAATACAAACTGCAGTAAGCAGCCGCTCCCATGCATTGGGTTGGACAGGACCTGCAAACACCCAAACATAGCACACATTCCGTCCCTTTATATCCATTATGAAATGTATTTACTCATGGCAATGAAGTTTCTGTATCATTACCAGGTGAGGCCATTGTGATGGTCCCACGTAAAACATCACATGAGTCACCACAGCACACATTTAACTATCCTAACCTCGCTCAGGAGGTGTTGCCACTGTGGGTCTGACTGGGAAAGCACCAGGCTCCACTGTTAAGCAGAACAGCAGGACTTTTATTCTCAAAATAAAAGTTTTTTAATTACTGAGATTCAAACTTTTCATTTTCTAAATCCTCCACCTTTAAGTCCACCTTTGATTTTGAAAATAGACTCAATCGCATCACCCAGAATTGTCTTCAACACCTTTTGCAGCTCTGTGTTATTTCCCTCCTGCTGACGTGTTTCACTGTCGGGACGATGCACTCGCTGTGGTCGGTATCTATACATGTAGGTGCATGTGTTCATGGGCTTCTTCTGCTTTCCTTTAGCAAAGTTTAATCTTACAATTTTATTTTTTTTTTTTACCAAACAGCAAGCAAGGGGTTTACTTGTAGAGGTCAGCGTTACATACGATCCTTCACACTGCTTGAGCTGCCACAGAAACTCCAATGCCCCCTGATAACCCCTGTGCCAAGTCTGAGGCAGTTGTCAGTCTGTTTTTTAGAGATAGGTGATTAAAGTCGTGCCCTGCTTGTGACCCGTTGGCACAATAACGGGGACGGATATGAGGCTTGAAGTAATCAAATGACAAGCAGATAACTGAAAGTGAAGGCAAAAGTGTTTTGGTGTAGCGTAGAACATTGCACATTGGGGCAGGAAAAGGCCCGTCAATAGGGAGACAGTAACGGGAAGCTAACGTCGCTGTAATATGGGAGATACTAGCTGCAGCTTTCTGCACTTTTAGGATGAGTGCGTTCCAGGCTTGAAACTACCTCCAGTGAAACAAAACTGTAAATTACAGTATCAGTCATGGACAGAAAAACTTGAGTGGAACTTCCATCCCATCCATCATCTATACACCGCTTAATCCTCACTAGGGTCATGGGGAGCTGGAGTCTATCCCAGCTGACTCAGGGTGAAGGCAGGAGACACCCTGGACAGGTCACCAGTCTATCACAGGGCTACACTTAGAGACAGACAACCAAGCACACTCACATTCACACCTACGGACAATTTAGAATCACCAATTAACCTCAACATGTTTTTGGACTGTGTGGGAGGAAGCTGGAGAACCCGGAGAGAACATGCAAACTCCACACAGAAAGATTTCGGTGCCCCCACCGGGACGCGAACTGGCGACCTTCTTGCTGCGAGGCTACCAACTGCGCCACCCTGCAGCCCTGAGTGGAACTTGCTTTCTATTGTTTTTAGTAAATGACATCAGTAGCGTTTAGAATTTTTAACGTTAGAGCAGGTGTGGAAGAGAATATTTGCTTTTAACCAGCAATATTCTGATTACTACTGTTCAAACACTTCTGTGAGCAGGAAGGATCAGAACAAGCATCATCAGTCACAACATTTAAGTATGAAGACCACTGGAGATGAGTAACACCAGATATTTTCCCTCTTTATGTTGATTTTTGGGCTGCAAGGTGGAGCGGTGGTTAGCACCGTTACCTCGCAGAAAGAAGGTCGCCGGATCGCGACACCCGGGATCTTTCTGTGTGGATGTTGCATGTTCTATATTCTCTGGCTTCCACAAGGTCCAAAAACATGTTGAGGTTAATTGGTGATTCTAAATTGTCCGTAGGTGTGAATGTGAGTGTGCTTGGTTGTCTAGTGTAGCCCTGTGATAGACTGGTGACCTGTCCAGGGTGTCCCCTGCCTTCGCCCTGAGTCAGCTGGGATAGACTCCAGCCCCCCACGACTCTAGTGAGGATTAAGCGGTGTATAGATGATGGATGGATGGATGCAACTATTACTGTTGAAGTTGTCAGAAACAGTTTCAGTACAGAGCAAAAAATAAATAAAAAAATACTGCTTTAACTTTTTTTGTATGAATAAAAGTTGGAAAAGTACATGAGAAATGTTTGATCTCGATTTCACTCAGTCTCAGTTACATTCAGTCAAAACAACCTCAATATCTGGGACACACATTTTACATTTCTGTTCAATTCACTTTATTGCATTGAAATAAAGTTATTGAACAAGATTTTTATTTCAATCAGTCGACACAAAATCCTCCACATTATTTAAAAGATGACAGATTCACTACAGAAATGTTAGGGATCACCAAAGTGCTGATCAGTAAGTGAAAAACAATTTGCAATAATACGATCAATCATATTCCTCCATTTGGCCTGCTTAAAATTCATTTAAATTCATTTAATCAGCCGTCCTGCTACTGCTCCAACACCAGCCCCAGCGGAGGCCAGGCCTGCGGTGGTGGCGGTTGAAATTCCAGCTGCACCTGCAGAAAAAAAAAAAAAAAATCACATTATTAGATCTGATTGAGGTTAACACTCACCAATTATATTATTTTGTTTGCAGCATCATACCGATACTGCCAACCTTTGCTCTCAACACAATCTGTTATTTGTACTATGATCTCTGAGATTCTGTAGCACAACACGTCAGCTGTACATTCATGCTGTGGTCACCTGAAATCACCACTCCTAACTCTGCACCGCTCAGCCTGTCATAGCGTGTACTGCATTAGATTCTACGTCTGAATACCTTAAAAAAAAAAAAAAAAAAACTAGTGCTTGGATGCATTAATGAAGTAAGCATTGTCTGCCTGCGTTACTTAACTCATTAAACAATTTGCCAGCGCTGACATTATCTTGTGATCTCTGAGTTTTTATTTTGTCTTCATGCCCTTGTGATCTTTCCCGTCTACCTAGAACCATCCTGATCCAGTTTCTTGTCACCAGCAAAACTGTGGGCTAAAGCATTCAAACCAAGAGTCATTTTATTGGGCCTCAAATGCACCAAGAAATCATGTCCCACACTGTTACCACCACCATCAGTCAGGACCTTTAACACAACATGGGTGGGGTCCTTTGGATTCATGTTGCTGCTGAAAATCTGACTCATCATCTACATGACTCGGCAGACAAAGATATTCATTACGTCTTGTAATGTTTTCCCAGTCTTCAGCAATCATAAAGCTACAGTCAAAACCACTGAGATCAAAACACCACGCCTTATTTGCTTTTTTCCTCAGCATATCTGAGTCCTCATAACTTCACATATACGGGAGGTAACAACATGAAATTTTGAAGGGTGAAAAACATGTTTGAGCTCGGCTAAAAACTGCAACCAAATCACATCCACTCTTGGTGTGGTAATCAAACTTTTTTTCCGGAACCAACTTTGAGCTTCAACAACGAGATATGGAAAACTGCACCAGTTTCATTTCTATGACATAGAGTCATAGAAACAAGCATCAAAACCCTGAACGTGTCGACTGTTTTCTGATAATTCAGGAAAGAAAACTTAAAAAAAAACAAAAAACATTTTGGTTAAACTTTCAAAAGCCAGATCACCATTTGGTGGCTGGTGGTCAAAATGACTTATATTCACTCCTATGTACTGTATGAAGGGAACACTTCACATGGTTTCATTAAATATACTAATAAACAAAAATCAGGGGCTTCTGAAGAAGTCAGCTGAAAGCTTTTTTCTCAGTTGGGTGACTCTACATGTCATGACCAAGTAAGATTTCACGTAGTAGACTAACTAAAAATACCTGCTGACTGCAAAACAGCCACCAGACTCCCTGCTGCCACCCCTCCTCCGTTAGCAGCAGCTGCAGACGACATCATACTTGCTGCCCAGGACCCTGCTGCGATTCCAGCTGAGGTGAAACCTACGGCTCCCAGAGCAACAGGAACCAGGGCCACTGCACCCACTGTACATGGACGACAACACAGCAAGTTTGTTATGACGGCAACCACGAATGATGGAGCACAGAAAATGCTTCATTAAAACAAATAAAAAATAACAATAATAGAAATTACACACATATATATATACATATAATTTCTATTATTGTTATTTATATATATATATATATTATCGTGTTTTAAAATTTGATGAAAACGATCCATACCCGCCCCTGCTGTCATGGCAGCAACAGTCCCTGAAACACAAAAGAAAAGCCATGATGTAAGTAAGCATTAAGTAGATCAGTATGCTTTCAAATTAGGAAAGGTTCCCTGAGTTTTACAGATTTTTTTGGAGTCTAAAATACTCACAAAGACCCATGTTGTCTTCTCGTCGGACTCGGCTGAATTTCTTCTCAACACAGCTGCCTTCTGCAGTGATTAAAACTACAGCCACAATCACTTCCGGTATCTATAAGAAGCTGCGTCACGGCGGCCTTTGAGCTTTGTCACCGAATAACGGAAAACGAAAGTCGTCATATAATTTTACTGTAACCTTCTGAACTAGTTTATTGACAGTATTTTAGTTTTTATTTTTCGCTCCTGTAACTTTTTTTTTTTTTAATTTTTTAGCGCCATAAATCTTTTTTTTTTTTTTTTTAAGTTACATTATTTTAATTATTTATATTACAAAAGTTAAAAAATAAACTGCAATCGATATAAAGGCTACAATATTTTCCAAATGCCCACAAGTGTTACCAGTACTAATAAATGTTGACTGTAAAGATATTTTTTTAGCTAGTTTCCATACTTGTCTCCTATCTGCTCCGTGTAAACACATCCAGTTCAGCTCAAAACTCTTTGAATTTTTGTCACGTGACTGTTCCTCACAGACGAGTCATTTATAGCTTCACGGATGTGTTAAGGAGCGCAGAATTTTTCTATTTAAACATTATCTGGTTCGAAGAAACTGTTGATTTTTGGCGATTTAAAAAAAAGTGACCTAAAATAAAAATTAATTCAAGCACGTTACATTCAAGAACCGTGGGGAAGTTGACAATCTGATGACTAATTCTGTTTTTCCAGCTTCTGACTCTGATAAATGTTGTATTTTGGGCTATTTTTGGAGGAATTCTGGGGTTGAGATGGTTAAATATTTAAAATACAGCTTCTTATTTCACGAAAAACGCTCCTCAAGCAAACCTAAACAGATCACAGGTGAGGCAACACAGATATTTCCGACATCATTTCCACAGCAATCGCATTTGTGATCATAATGTTGGCAGAAAACGGTTCAGTTATATTTTTTTCCCCTCCCTTCGCCCTGTTAGGAAAATAAAAGTCGAGCAACAGCTTCCAGTAACAATAAACGCGAAAGTGAAAACAGGCCCGTGTTGCTCTTCAACTCATCCAGCGGATCTGATCACATGGTAGGATTTACGCATGCGCCAGACGTTCATGGCTGATGGAGAGAAAGATGCCCACTGCCATCATCCCCGTGTAGCGCAGGAGAGCTCCAGCCCGGTCCAGTTTGCCGCAGAAACACACCGTCTGTCCGCACAGCTGCATGTCGCAGTGTGACACAGGGAGCCCGATGTCTGTGGCAAATGCGAAACACACTGTTCTGAATCCGGTAAGAGGGGGATTATTATTATTATTATTATCATCAATATTAATAATAACAGTATTATTATCATCTCCATCAGCCCTGCGATGGCATCAGGCAGGGCTCAGTGCACCCTCATGTAGTTTCTAATCCAGCTGAAGCACACTCAGGTGTCCGGCGGTTAAAATGTGCGTTCTGAGCCAGTCCGTGTTGCATTCGAGCTCCCTCACCTTCAGTCCAAGTGTCAGTGCAGACACCCACTGATCCTAACTCTGTGCTCCAGGTGATCCCCTACACTGGGCCCATACCTGGAGGCCTGCACCCCGGGGAGATCATCATCATCCAGGGCACCGTGCCCCCAGATGCTGACAGGTAAGATTTGGTTTACATGACAGAGGCGCCACCTTATGGACGCGATGTTATTAGTAGACCTGCAGCGTTGTAATGTTTCACCTGGAAAAACTTCTTCTCTCTGTGATGCCTGCTTCATACTGGTTTTAGTTTTCATGTGATCCCTTATTCACATGCATGCTTTTGTCGGCTAAAAATGACCGAGACAGTGTTTGGGTGCATCTTGAAAATGGGTTAAATGTGTATTATTTTATTATTATTTAACAAAATGTACATTAACAAGCTGAAGTGAACATCTCTGGGGAGAAGAAGGTTCAGAGTTTGAACCTGTTGGTCGGCCTTCCTGTGTGGAGTTTCTATGTTCTCCCCGTGCCTGAGTCCTCCGGGTGCTCCGGCTTTAGTTAGTGTTGGATGGATGGAAATCTGTGGCACCGTCGCTTTGGGAAAAACCTGGTCTGTGAACACAGTGGAGCAACATTACTGACATGATGTCACTGTGAGTGGTCAATAATAGTAAACTTTATTTCTATTGCACCTTATTAAAGTGGAGCTACAAGCTGCTTTACAAAACAGCCATCCATCATCTATACACCACTTAGTCCTCACTAGGGTCATGGGGGGCTGGAGTCTATCCCAGCTGACCTAGGGGACACCCTGGACAGGTCACCAGTCTATCACAGGGCTACACTTAGAGACAGACAACCAAGCACACTCACATTCACACCTACGGACAATTTAGAATCACCAATTAACCTCAACATGTTTTTGGACCGTGTGAGAGGAAGCCGGAGAACCCGGAGAGAACCCACGCTGCACGGGGAGAACATGGAGACTCCACTCAGAAAGATCCTGGGCGGGATGCAAATCAGGAATCTTCCATCTGTGAGGCGACGGCGCTCACAGTAAAACATTAAAAGAGGAAAACATTAGTAAAGACAGTGAAACTTTAAGAAACAGGATAAGATGTCACACAAATGCCTGAATGTCTCAGTGTGTTTCTGAACTGAGGCTTGCTCAGAGTGTCGGGGACCTCCTCTGTTCTAAACCTGGACTATGGAGCTCTTAGCAGTAATAGATTCTCTGATCTTGGTGCAGAATAAAGTGTAAAAAGTTCTGAGATGCAGAGCGGGGTGATTTCAGAGTAATCAAGAGAACTTTGAATTGACTTCTGAGCCGAATGGGGAGCCAGAGTAAGTTTTCTGGAGTGTTTGTGAGTAATCCTGCTGCTCCGTTTTGAATCAACTGTAACCAGTCAAATGCTGCATCTTTCAGGCGAGTGTATCGTGAGCTGCAGTGGTCCAGGTGGGAGGAAAGGAGGGTTTGGATGAACTGTTCAGCAACGTTTTAGGGAGTTTGACTTTGGCAGAAGGCGTTGAACAAGAGTCTTGATGTGTTTTGATCATAAGCAACTCTCAGGTTTGTGATTCAGTAGTAGCGGTCCAAGGTTGGAGGTGACTTCACTATAAATATGGACCAATAAACACGACTTCAGTGCTATCTGTATTAAGTTGTTGGAAATCAGAAGCTCTCCGGTCTTTCATTGCAGTACGGCAGCATTACAGATACTCCCAGTGATTGTCGGAGGTAAAGGAGACGTAGTTGTTATTAAAGTTTCCAACCTGTCCGATCACTTTCCAATCTAGAAGGACACAGGATTAGTTTGGAGGAATTTTAGCTCACCTGTAACTCCACCTGGAGGACTGCAACAGGTCATGCATAGTAAGTGTCCAGCTGAAGGTGAACTCTCAGACTGCATCACACTTGGAGCTGAACTAACAGTCTGCCTCGTTGATTGTGTCATAAATAAAAGTCTAAACTACAGCTTTAAAAATGGCCCTCCATAAAGGAAAGGCCGGGCCTGCCAGCGTTTATATTCTCCTTCACTCCATCACTCTACAAATCTGCACTTCATCAAACTACCACAAACCCCCACTGACATGCAATGAACTTGTAACTCTCTGGGACCCGTCCTTCCTCTCCGCTACCGTCGGTGACCCAGCCCAAGTGTGCGCTCCTCTCCGCAGGTTTCAGATCGACCTGTCGAGCGGCTGCAGCACCAAGCCGCGCTCTGACGTCGCCCTCCACTTCAGCGCTCGCTTCAAAGGCTCGCCCTGTGTGGTGTGCAACTCCCTGCTGCAGGAGAACTGGGGCAAAGAGGAGACGCTCCACCAGCTGCCCTACAAACGCGGAGCCCCCTTCGAGACCATCGTCCTGGTGCACGAGGACGTCTTTAAGGTCGGTGACCCCGCGCTGGTGAGGACGTCAGACAGAAGTGCGCGCTAATTCAATTACCAGTGGATAATAAATGACTCTTCCTTCCCCTCTAGGTGGCAGTAAATGGAACTCACCTGCTGGAATACAAGCACAAAATCCCCCTCAACAGGGTCGACACGTTTTCTGTTTCGGGGAAAGTCAGGGTGCACGCTGTTGGCTACATCCCCAACTCAGTACGTGCATTAACAACTTCCTTTATTTTTTTCTTTCATAACTCTGTTCAATTGAAAACAGAAATGTAATCATTTTTCTAAATGTCTTCTCTCCCTCTAAGGCAATATATTCAGAATCAGGTGACTTGGTGAGTCTTTCCTTTTACGTCATTGACATAAAACCGCTCTGTCTCAAACTGGATCACATCTCCTAAATGAGTCTTTGTTAGCTCAGCAGACTTTTAAAGCACTTATTATATTATTAGGGCGGCTGTGGCTCAGGTGGTAGAGCAGGTTGGCGGTTCGATCCCCCCCCGTCCCTCCACAGTCCAAGTGTCCTTGGGCAAGACCCTGAACCCAAAGTTGCTCCCAATGGCAGGCAGCACCTTGCATGGCAGCTCGGTCGCCATTAGTGTGTATGAATGTGTGTGTGAAAGTGCTTTGAGTGCTGCTAAGGTAGAAAAGCGCTATATACTATTATGTGTTTTTTTATTTTGCAGTCAATAGAATAACTGCTGAGGTCCAGGAACACAGCAAGAATCCAATAATCTGCACATTTCATACTAGTAAATGTTCTCCTTATTGATAACATGTACATCATATGGAAAGAAGCTTGTGTTGTCATTCCAGAGCCTCCCTTACAAAGGCAGCATACTCAAAGGACTGAACCCAGGGCAGCACATCACGATAAAAGGCCAGGTCAGCATGTATCCTCACAGGTAAAGTGATGCAGTTCCTCATGATATAACAAACAAAACTACATCTTGTTTGCTCTCCTTTCCACGCTGGGCTTAAAACAGAAAAATCGTTTACCTTTTTTACTGCACCTTTTCTTCCAGTTTCACGGTGAACCTCCGCAACAGCAGGACGGAGAACATCGCTCTGCACCTGAACCCCCGCATGAAGTCCGGCGTGTTCATCAGGAACTCGTACCTGAGTGAGTCGTGGGGTCAGGAGGAGCGGGAGCTGCCCTTCTTTCCCTTCTCGTCGGGGGAGTACTTTGAGGTAGGAATCACAACTTTGAAGCGTGAATTCTGCTCTCGTGTGCAGCTGTAAAGGACGGTCGTGAGTAAAAGTGTAAAGAAGACCATGTATATCATGACAGTCTTGAGTTTCCAGTGACTCCCATAGCTCAGACTCCATGCGAAACAATCATGCTTTTTGTAGATTTATTCCAGGTTTTCTGGAAATATGACGAAATCTGCTGAGTCAGACATAAACATACGGCAAAAGGTTTGGTGATGAAGACAGTTGTGTTAAATTTTCTTCGTGGCATGGCCTCTTAACTTCTCCTAAGTCAGGGGTGGCCAATCCTGGTCCTCAAGGGCCACAGTCCTGCATGTTTTAGATGTTTCCCTCTTCCAACACACCTGATTCAAATGATCAGGATCGTTATCAGGCTTCTGCAGAGCTTGATGATGAGCTGATCATTTGAATCAGGTGTGTTGGAAGAGGGAAACATCTAAAACATGCAGGACTGTGGCCCTCAAGGACCAGGATTGGACACCCCTGTCCTAAGTGATTACGATCGACTACAGCTGTTGACTCCTCTGAGCGAATTTAGATAAGGCCCGTTTGATACACTCGTTAGACTCGGCAACAAACGCTACAGTGGGAGCGTCTGAGGAGCTCAGCAAAGATCTGAAGAAGCAAATCGTTGACTTGAACAAGGCAGGAAACTCATTTAGAGCCATTTCAACGATGTTTGTAAAAATATGAAGTGCATGTTGTGTCGCTGAAGAAGAAACACAAGTTATCACCCGCTAGTGAAGGTCAAGAGAGGTCATTCTGAGTAACACAACATCATTCAAGTTGCTGTGTTCATATGTTTGACGCAGCAGATTTTGTGATATTTCCAGAAGACCTGTACTAAATCTATGAAACAAAAAAAAAGCAAGATTGTCTTATTGTGACAAAGACGAATAAGTTTCAATGATTGTGTGATAGAAAATTCAGAGTCATTGGAAACTCAAGACTGCCGTGATACACACAATCTTTACAAGTGTAGGGAAACTTTTTGAAGTTCTAGCAACATACAGCCATGAACAAAAAGTTCCCAAGAAGCATGTGAAGTTTGTCATCTAACATTCATCATCACGTGTTCTGTATCTGACCTCTCCTCTCAGATCCTCCTCCTGTGTCAGCCTCACCAGTTCAAGCTGGCGGTGAACGGCTCACACTTGTTTGAGTTCAGACATCGGGTGCAGGACCTGAGCAGCATCGACCAGCTGGAGATCATGGGCGACCTGGAGCTCACCGACGTGAAGCTGTGGTGACGCGGGAACTCCGCACAGAAATTAAGTGTCACCGACACTATTGCGTTCCGGTTATCAGTGCTAAATTAGCTTAGCCACAATGACCCAGACGATGGAAGGTGGCGAACCCTGAGCTGACTTCAGGTTTGAATGTGGGGTCAGGTTAGTCCTGCAGCAACCATTGGTCATTAAATTTTAAGCTACTCTAGCATTCTCATTGACCAAAGGCCATGGACAGGTCCTGCCGCGGAGTAAATCTTTTCAGCCCCTTTTCAGGAGGACTGATGCATGAGAGAAAGCTGTGCTGGAGCATCAGGCCGCGAGCCGCCATGACTGTTTACAAGTTAGGTGTCCCTGGATCATTTCTTATTCTGTCTCTAGTGCATCTCTGCTGTGATTCAGCCTGTTTAGGTCAAACAGGAAATATATGTAAATGTTAATAAGCACTTCAGCACTGGCTTTGCTTATATGTACATTATAAGACAGTCAGACAACAAATGAAACAGGAGGGCTCCATTGTTTTTGGAGCGACGTCCAGCAAAAGACTAATCACTGTAAATTTATTGTACAGCTAATTAAAAAAAAAAATCCAAACATTTCTCATTTTTACAACGTGATGGTATTTCTTTTTAAACAAACAAAAAAGAAATCTGCCTCTGAATTTTCATTTTTAACCCACCCAGTGTTTCATTTATTAACCAGTCTGTTGCCATCTTCAGGATTCTTTAACGTACGATAGTGTCCCACGCACCTGATTTAAGAACTTACCATGTGATGCTGCAACAGGACTCAAGCACAGCGCAGTTACAGGGTCGACAACATTTCAGCAAACCTAACAAATGACATTTTGCGATCTGTATTAAATCTATAGAATATAGTCCAGTCTTGCATCTGTGACCATCTCTCGTCTCACTGCTGCAATCAGTGATCAGTCCTACTCCAAAATGAAAAAAGACTAACGAATGTAGGATTGTCATTAAGGCATTTTCTATTGTAATGATTGTAAAAAAAAAATAAATAAATGTATGGAAAGAATTCCCTATGTATCATACATTATTTAATAATAAATAAATGTGTTGCTATTATCATTTTGTCTGGGTTGTTTGCTTAAGTTTTTTGCTACTGGGCCACAGCGCAGATGGTTTGCGTCCTGGTAAATCTATGGAAGCAGAGCAGAGCAGCATATTTCAGGTTACATGTACTCATAACTGCTAAAACACAAAACTTTGGTTACAACAACTTTAAGATACATGCTTGAAAAGTCAGAATGTAGGCGTCTGCACTTGGTTAACAAAGTACAAATACTTCAGGTATCTGTACTTTACTTGAGTATTAAATTTTCTGACAACTTTTTCCTTTTACTCCCTACATTTGAACACAAATATCTCTACTTTCTACTCCTTACATTCTCAAAACTGGCTCGTTACTTGTTTCAGCTTCCGCGGATGACGACATGACGTAAACGACGTAACAACAAACGTCTTTGTCTTTCCCAGCAGTGTGCGATTTGTCACTGAAGCTCAACACAGCCCGGCCCGTCTTCATTCAGAGAACTTCGAGATCCAGCTTCTGCTGCGGCTCAATAAAAGAGTTTGGTAGTCGCGAAGAGATGAAGAGATTTCCATGTTGATTACTGGAAACCTGTCCAGCGATTGTGTTTCTCTGTAGCAGCACTGTGCAGGTTCTTAAAGGATGAAAACAATCCTATTTTGTGTGCTTAAAACTTTCTTTGTTTTGCAGAGTTATCAAAAGAGGCATCGCGCATCATCGAACCTGTACTTTGTTACTTTTACTTGAGCAAAGGAGTTGAATCAGTACTTCTGCTTTTACCAGAGTCCATTTTTACACAAGTATCTCTACATCTACTTAAGTAAAGAATGGAGTACTTTTGCCATCTCTGGTTAACTTACATCTTCTTGTTTGGCAAATGCACTGTTAATTGCAGTACCCCCGTTCAGCCACAAGGTGGTACAAGAGAACTAAAGTGTGCTCGACCACCCAGGCCAGGCAGTGAACTTTCACCTTTTTTTTTGCTAAATAAATGGTTATTGTCCCATTAAGGCACCCACACAGTCTTAGAGCTTGTCTTAGTCTCCACATCTTTAAAGATTTGTGCTTGAGGTCTCAACAAGACTCCTGTCAGGATGAACGGGACGCTACGCCTTCACCTTGTTTGAACATCCATAAATGTTCAACAGCATCGATCAGACAGGCTTGTTTCTAATCCGTGACTCACATCAGCACACATTACGCCTTCCACATTAATACAATTCAATCTTATAAAAAGTTGGTGTTTTATTAATATCCACAGGAAATATAATTTGTAAGAGTTGTAATAACCATGGTACAGTACAACAGTCTTATTTTTACATAGAAAAAGCAGGATGATATGCAACATGAAGACATCAACCATTGCACTGCTGAGAATGTCCAAGAAAAAACAAGGCAGAAGACATGGTCCAATCAGCAACAGGCAAAAAGGCTAAAGTTAGTTTTACAAAAAAATCTGTCAGACCTGTGATCCGTTGACAGAAATTCAGCCTTCTGACCAAAAATGTCATCAACTGTCAAAACACAAGTTGTTTTTTGCTTGAGATGGCTCACAGACATGCGCCACTTTGAAAACACTCCCCTGTGCAATTTCCAGGAGCTAATGGATTATGCTTCCCTTGAAGTAAAAAAAACAAAAAACGAAAAAAAAAAAAGAAAGAAAAAAACAAAGACAAGTCTATGTCTGAGCTGTCATACAGGCCATTACACCAGGAACCATCTCTCACAGTCCCTGCGGAGAGATTTGGCAAGATATCGGCTGAGGACAACAGGTTTTTTTGTATTTTTACTTCCGTTCAGTTAAATTCTGCGGCGACTCTAGCAGCTGACTTTAAGCCACAGCCAGTAAGAGAAAGGGAGAGTGAGCTGATCCAAAAGTGGCACCGGACAGTTTCTGGGGTTGGATGCATGTTGTCATGAGGGGGGTGAAGAGGGGAGGGGACGGGGTAAACACTCCGCCGTCAGACAGAGCTCAGCTTAACCAATCCTCTGACAGAGTCCTCGTGTAGCGAGTCCTGGCTGGCCGGGTTGTAGAAGCCCGCCTGCATGGTGTGGCTGTGGCCCAGGGGGCTGCCGCAGTGGAGCATCCCCGGCGGCGAGGGCACTTCCTCTGGGGTTAGAAAGTGGTGGTGGGCCACCGGCTCCTGGAGGGGGTGGCTGTGGTTGTGGCCGTGTCCGTGGATTGGCAGCATGTCGGCGGCTTCGTGGCAGCTGAGGCTGGGGGTGGACGTCGGAGGGGTGGGCTGGCCGAGGGGGAGCGAGGTGCACGGGCCGCCCAGGGTGAGGGAGGTGCGGCCCGGTAGAGAGCCTCCGTTTTCGGGGGAGGCCGTTAGGATGACTGGCTCGCTGCTCTGCTGCTGGAGGAGAGGTGTGGCGGCGGCCTGCAAAACGAATTTGGTGCTCTGAATGCACTGGTCTTGGTCACACTGAGAGAAAGCACCAGCAAGCAGGAGATAGAGGACAACGTGGGGGGAGGAGGAGGTGAAAGTCAGAGAGATCAGGTGCCGGAGGTGAAAGACGGAAATTGAAGGGAATTGAAAATTAGAATGAGAAGGGGGGAAAAAAAAGAACACCAGAATATGTGAAGACAACAGAGGATGGGGAAGGTGATTGGGTGAGGGGGGGGAGGAGGAAAGAGACAGAAAAAAAGATGTTAGTACCCTTGTTAGAATGCAGCACCACACAAAGAACCGGCACCAGCTCGTGCATCCACTCCGGTAAAAACAGAGCTGAAGTCAATACAGAGCTGAAAACACGAAGCTATTAAGTCACCGCTTCGTGGTGTATTGATCTCTGCTGCCTTGCTTTACAATGGAAGTCACATGTCTGAAAGTGGAACAGGTTAGGGCGAGGTACCAGAACCACACGTTATCTAGAGGGAGGTTAGCTGTAACCCACTTAGCCCTTCAGCACCACCGAGTCATCGTGCATTAAAGACCAGCTACAGATGGAAGATCAGTAGGAAAAGTGGCCACTTCTATCCCCCACCAGCCCCAAAGCACTGAGATTGGAAGCACAAAGACGCGACCCGAACATCTCACCTTTCTGTCTCAATCTCACTGACCTAAAAAGAGCAGATTACAGACGTGATTTAAACAGCAGTTGAGCTCCGTCTGACGGTAAAAGAGATGTGGTAACAAGTATTATCAATCCTCTTATCAGCTGCTCTTGACGTATCACCTTTATGGGCTTGGCTACTCTCCAGCTTGTTAAAAAGACCAAACTCAGCGACGGTTACTGGACAGACATGACACAGGAACCTCGCTGCGTCATCACCGGGTATAAAAAAATGAAAACACGGCGCTTCATCATTCTCCTTGTACTTTGTGGCCCACTCGTGCTTTCTAAAGAGTGGAAGCCGGACTGACTCAGCAGCGTCCATCTCCCACAGCAGACACACAGAAGTACGAGGAGCGACGTGCACTCGGACCGCTGATGGATTAACCTCGGATAGCAGACAGCAAGCGATGCAGCGCGGGCCGTGTTTTGGTTGGCTGATGACACAACAAGAGATTTCTTTTCTCTAATCAAAAATTTAAGCCTACATTTATATTTTATACTTTGGAGACGCTTCTTGACTCACTTAAGTATAAAAACACAGGATGACAAATGACAACTATCATAGAAACACAGAATGTAATGAGTCTATTAATCAACTAGCAGAAGACATAACCCCAACTGATAATGCATCAATGGTTCTAATCAGTTCACATCCTGGTTCTCAAATAACTCTTAATGAACATACAGTCGTCCTCAAATGTATTCAAACCCTCCCATTAAAGAAGGAAAAAAAACTGAAATAAGTTGAAATGGACAAAAGCAATAACAAAGAAAATTTTAAGAAAATCATGACATTGCTTTTGAAATGTGGTTCAACAGAAATAAACAATCAAAAAAGCATGATGGGACCCGTAAACTAATATTTAGTTGAACAATCCTTTGAGCCAATCACAAGTGTTTTCTGTAACTCCCAATCAGACTTCTGCACCTGTTTACAGGTGTTTGGATTTCACTGCTCATCAGCAAAGTGCTCTAAATTATTTTTTTAAATTATTCTTTTCAACCACAATTCAAAAGCAATGTCTTATTTCACTAAATTATAATTTAGCAAATTTTTATTTATTATTACTTTTTCCAGTTTCTAGTTATTTGAGTGACTATCGTGATTTTTTTCTTTAATCTAAGGGGATGAATAAACTCGAGGACGACTGTATTTACTGGGTGTTTGTGTCCAACTACCTACTTGCATGTTCATAACATTACAAACTTATCTAAAAAAAAAAAAAAAACAGAAATATTTCCCAAACCATTTATGTTTCATATTTAAACAAGTGTCGAGATGAGACGGTCGATTATATCCGTCTGTGTTATTCCTGACAACACACCCCTGCCTGCTAAAAAAAAATGAGAAGGTGACTGAAAACAAGTCGTACATTTGTACATTTGGTTCGTCGGGTAGATAAAAAGAAACAAGGAGGTCGTTAATCACAGCATCATTAATTGAAAGCGGGGGGCCTCCTGGGTGAATGACTGAGTGAGTAATAAAAGTGAGAGTGAGGCTGTGGGTTGTCAGTCTCCCATCACTCACTGGACAATTATCAGCAACATGATGGTGGTTTATGAAGATGCACTCTGGGGCGCACAGACGGAGGAAGAAGATCCGAAAGGAGGAAACGTGATACTAACATATTTACCAACGGTTAAACCACATTAAATACAAACGCAGACTTTTTTTCAATAAAACACACATTTTCTATCCATTAAGATAGTTTGACTTGTATTTGTAATGATGCTGTTTCCTAATTTATTACTTGGTTTAAGCAAGTTTATGTCTCTTTTCACACTACTTTCTATTTACGTAGGACTTGCATACTTTTCTTTTACATATATTGTATTTAGAATTTCTTAGATCTAGATTTCTAGATGTGTTCCTGTCTTGTTAGTGTTGTGTATCAGTCTCATTCACCACGCCAAACTCCTTGTGTGTGAAAGCTCACTTGGCAATAAAAAGCTTCTGATTGCTATGTTTGTATTGCACAAAACTGAAAGAGAAGCAAAATTAACCCTCGGAACCACAAAGTCTGCCAGCAAGTTTGAAAGACTTTTTTTTTGCCTGTAATTTTTATTTTAAACACTAATTTTGAACACGTTAACAAAAGAACATTTATGGGAAGCGTAGCGTTCCAATAAAAATCTGTGTCCATCCTCTTAAAACGCCAAAAACTCAGACCTTATGGGCGTCACACACTCAGCCCACTTTATCCAGATTGTGTAAAACATGTCCCTGCTGGTCAAGTATCTATTCCCCCCCACCTACCAAGTCAAATTCAAAATGGAGGGTTTGCGATCAAGGTGTAGCGTGAGTTCATATCACACACTGTTACCATAGCAACAGCTCACGGGGGGGCTTCTACAAACCAGGCCGTCAGTTTAGGCAGCATCACAGACAAAGTACATCACAAAGCAACAGGGCTTTCGTCACCCAAACACAAATGTCTCAATGCATCTGCCAACACGGTGCTAAAAATGGCAGGCGGCCGATGTGCGGCGGGCACAACAAGTCAACAAGATGCACATGTGACTTGTTTACTCGGGCCAGCGTGTCTCAAGTCTACACCTCAGATCTGAGTAAAGAGAGAAATCATGATCTCCATGCACAATTACTCATTTCACATCCATCTAAATGGTAATAATGACGATCTGGTCTTGATGAAGAAGGGTAATTAATGGGTTTTAGAATAAGCTGTTTTTCTCATATGCTTTAGTGCTTTTTTGTTTAACAGGGAGAAGAACCACAGGACAAAAAGAAACAACTATTGAGACACAGTGACACGTCTGACAGTCTCATAATGAGGACATTTCTGTTCTTTAGTTGATATCAGACAAATTCCAATAAGTGGCTGACCTCCTACAACCTTCACATCCCTCTGAACCGCAGCAGCTTCTGGATGTTCTTTGTTCCTGTCAAGTTTTTTTTTTCCTGTCACTGTGGGCTCATTTTTTTTTACTACAAAATCAAGTTTTGTACCTCGACAGAAACAGAACCAACATGGTACCAAAGAAACACCACAAGATTTCCCACATGTAACTGGGGAACATGGTGACTCTACAAAACACGGATATTTTAGTTTGACTTAATTTAGGATGTGATAAAAAAAAAAAAAAAAAAAAGGTGTACATTTGGTGATTTCTTAAAAAAGTTAACTTGCTTTCAAAATCTGTTTTTTACGGAGCCCCAGACATGGTCAAAATAAAATTAAATCGTGGCCACAATATAGCTATGACGTGCGCACAAAGAAGCATTTCTTGCACACAAAATAATAATTTGTTCCCACGTTTTAGCTCAATTGTGGTCACGAAATAAGTGTAATGTGTGCGCAAAATAATAATTTGTGGCCATGAAGTAGGTATAATTTGTGCACGAAATATTGTTCCTGGACAACTTGGTAAGCAAATCGAGCACACCTTCATTGCAATACCCTGGGATTTTATTTTAACCATGTCATATCTGGGGCTGGGCCGCAAGGTGGCTCGGTGGTTAGCATCGTTGCCTCGCAGCAAGAAGGTCACTGGTTCGGACACCCGGGATGTTTCTGTGTGGAGTTTGCATGTTCTCCCCGTGCATCATGGGTTCTCTCCGGGTTCTCCGGCTTCCTCCCACAGTCCAGAAACATGTTGAGGTTAATTGGTGATTCTAAATTGTCCGTAGGTGTGAATGTGAGTGTGCTTGGTTGTCTGTCTCTAAGTGTAGCCCTGTGATAGACTGGTGACCTGTCCAGGGTGTCTCCTGCCTTCAACCTGAGTCAGCTGGGATAGACTCCAGCCCCCCATGACCCTAGTGAGGATTAAGTGGTGCATAGATAATGGATGAATGGATGTATATCTGGGGCTCCGTAGTTTGGGGGGTTAAAAGGGCCAAATACAAAGTATAACCACAGTAAAAGTGACAAAGCATACGAATCAGGTGTAATACACTTTCTTCTGTTTTATAACTCAGCTGCTCTTAATCCATCTAATTTCTCTCACAAACGTCTCCTGTATATTCACACTCTTCCTCCTAATAACCCCTCTACCTCTGAAGAAAAGTAATGTGAGACTGTTTACTTCTTGTGGTTTGTATAATTTCTCCAACTCACCCACTGCCCTCTCTAAAACCAACTGGATGACACAATATCATCAGGCCTGAGATGTGTGGTTTATTACTGTTGGCCTGACTTTAACACAGACTTCCACAGTAATGAAGTGATTTTCACCAGCAACTAGGGAGATTATTGAGGATACCCAGAGGAGAATAGTCACTCCTAATGTGCTACTAGTATGTTGTGTTACATAATTGAACAAATGGACACTAAGCACACAGCTGATTGCGTACCACTGAGCAGACAAACGGCCGGCAACCAGTACAACAGGACAACTCGAGCTTCTAATCATGACTGCTATAGAAAACAGATGGCAGTTATTTCTGACTGTGCTAACGTAGGGGAATGTTCCTGTGGCGCTCGGCCCAATACAACCAGTCCATTCAGGACATTAAGACAGATGACATTCACGTCTGACATCTCAATGAGAACAAGCCCGATGAGGTCGAGTTGGGGTGAGAACAAGGGGGCGACTGTGAGGCAGGGCACCAGTGAAAGATGTCTGGTAGCTGTGTGCGAGGAGGCTTTAAATCTAGTTTGTAATGTGTGAGGTAAACAGCTTCACTGAACAACAAAAGACTGGCTGGTTCAATTCAGGCAGCAAACAAACGGGCCAGTGAGGTCAGTGTGGCGTCCTCTTCACAACGAAAGCTATTCTCTGCCAGACTTAAAGAGACAGCTTAACGTCGCAGGATGTATCTGTTTACCGGCCGCGGTGTACCGACTCAGACTGTGTGAATGCCGAGTGTAATTCGTTACACATAATTTCACTCTTGCTCGTTCTTTTTTTTTTTTCCCACTGCAATGCACGGACTGTCAGCATGATGACGAAGCACACGCACAGAAACCGTCCATCTCGATGATGAGCGAACCCTGACAGCGACTGAAAATAGGGAGAGGCAAATGATACATCTCGGGCTGCGGTGCCACCTCAGCACCAGCACCTATTAACGTCCCCTCCTCGCCTTTGTTGACCTAATTTACACAGCAACGCAGAGCGACACGCTGAAAACATCACTGCACTGTTTCCCACAGATTGATTTTGTTTTGTGGTGGCGCAACACAAAATCAACATTGGTCACCATGTATCGATTTTCTATTGTTTTTTTTTTCTTTCCACAATTTAAAATGGATAAAATGTTATTTCAGAGTGAGTTGCAGTCACTCTCTCTTGATCGTTCTCTCACTGACACAGCAACAACACACCCATCTGTGTGAAGCCCCTCCTGTCCGCACACAATATGCATCAAAACTTCATCGTGTGTAGGGGAAGTGATTATATTCCTGTAAATCCACAAATTACGAGTACAACTTCTGCAGAGATTTCTCCAAAACTGACTCATTCATGTTAACTTTGATATGCTAATCTATAATCTTAACACAACAATGTGTATTTCGGACGCCTAACACTTCAAATAAGTATTAGTGAGCATGTAAGAAGCCTCACTGGAAGGATAGTTGTAAGTTACAGCTGAGTTGTTGGGGCTAACATGCTAGTTCCCACCCGGCCCATTAGCTACAGACACCTCCCAACCTGTCCTCTCTTCTTCAAGTCGCCCATAATTCTTATCATACTAGGTCTAGTGAATACATCAAGCTCATCATCCCCAATACTTCTACTTTTTTTGGGCCGTAACTCGACTGGAACACCTTACAAAACACTCCCAAACTTGCAGCTCTGACTCCGCTCACCACCTTCAAGCTTAAAATCCAACAGACTGTAGTTGATCACGCTGGACTTTACCTACATACTTATATATACACACAGACTTTCTTACACCTCATGCACATCTTTTCTCTCTCACATTCATGTGCCCCCATGCTTCTTACTTGTTTATTTTTGTTCTATGTTATGTTCATGTGTCTATTTGCGTCTGTAATATACATGTGAGTTTGTTCCTGTTGGCGCCTCTTGGCCAGGTCATGTTTACAAATGAGAACTGGTTCTCAAACATTTTTACCTGGCAAAATAAAGGTTTAAAAAATAACAGAAAAAAATCACAAACAAAATCCAGTTATCTCAAGAAAGACTTGTTCATTGCAATCTGGACCAATGCCATCATTTTCAATCCAGAGAAATGAAAAACACTGAGTGGATTTACTTCTCCAGAGCGAGAAAAAATGCGTGCCACATGCTGGAAAAGGGTTAAAAATTGATAAAAGTGAAATAATCCAACCTCGTCTGGCCTTTACGCTCCGAGTTATCGAGGCCAGTCCTGAAAGCAGCAGCTAATGTTTACCTTTATGATCACAAACAGCCAGATGAATAATACAAGTCTCTGTAGATTCAACTCCTCAAACTGGCATGATCTGCTCTAGCTTGTGTGAGCTAAGTTTCTGTTAAACGAACAAAGGACAACAGCTGGAGATTCACTCTGTGAGGCAGGCTGCTGTGAGAGATGGTACGTCTCTGTGTGTCATGCTGACCACGGCCTGGTCCAGCTGGAGTTACAGTACAGCCTGTGTGACACTCCACTGCAGTCAAGCACCGGTAAATCCAGGCAGTTTTATTTACCTTCTGTAATGATTTCTCTCTGTAATCCACTGTTTTCCTACTTTATCTGGCTGTTCACATTACAAGCACGGGGTGGCTTTCATTGCGAAGCAGTTAGAGGAAAACAGTTTAAATGTGTACGGGCAATGACCATTCATATAAAAGTCTATCTACAAAACGGTTATTTCCAGCAATTTTTAGGAGAAGCCACAGTGAGCTTTTAGATAAAGACTGCACTCATCTAATCCTTCAGCCAAGTAATAAACTTAATTTACTGTGCTCTGCTGTTGTGTGGAAACCTATCTGCTGTAACTGACATGACAGGGAAAGATTTCTGACTTGCTTCTTTACTAAAGAACAGAAGTTTGTTTTGGGAAGCATCGTAGCATATATATATGTGTCAGCTACATTATCAGAAATAGAACAGAAACATTTCTCTGCTAACGGTGCTGCCCTAAACTGACCCAATACAGTATTTCAGTTAAAACACAGTATTTAATGCATCCACTGCCTTTAACTATTCTATCCCAAACAAACTGAACACCAAAAACATCTACAGTCGTCCTCAAATGTATTCAAACCCTCCATTAAATCCACAACAGTCACTCAAATAACTAGAAACTGAAAAAAGTAATAATAAATAAAATTTTGCTAAATTATAATTTTGCGAAATAAGACTTTGATTTTGAATTGTGGTTGAAAAGAAATTAAAAAAAAAAAAAAAAAAAACTGTCCCAGACAAATTACAGCACTTTACTGATGAGCATTGGGCCAAAATCAAAAAAATCTGATTGAGAGTTACAGAAAACCCTTGACAGCAGTGATTGGCTTGAAGGGTTGTTCAACTAAATATTAGTTTACGGGTCCCACCATGCTTGTTTTTTTTGGTTTTCTGTTGAACTACAATTCAAAAGCAATGTCTTGATTTTCATTACATTTTTATTTATTATTACTTTTGTCAATTTCAGCATATTTCAGTGACAGCTGTTTTTTCCCCCTCCGTTAATGGGAGGGTATGAATAAACGTGAGGACGACTGCAGACCAACTGCAGCATCTTAAGTCTGCATTTTTACTTCTATAAAGTCATCCTGAAGGAACAGGACAGACAATCGGACAGTGTCTCACCATGTGGCTTTGCTGAGACTGGGTGGCGCCATACATAGTGATGCCATTGGTCGGCGGTGCCAACTGCGGTGCGTCTGATTGGATAAAGCCTCGTCTGTCAATGAGACTAACGAGAGAAAAAGCAAAGATTAGACAAAGACATTGTTTGTGAAGATTCAGCGAATACTGTCACCAACAACCAAACACATAGAAGAGAATGAAAAACACAGAATAACACCATCAAACACATTCTTTGCAGCTACGAAAGGCTTTAAAGGTAAAGATGTAGAAATGAAATGCAACATACTTAGATCCAAGTCAATGTTACTGGAGATGGAAAGGATTACAATCGTGCAAATAAGCTTGTGTGCCAATTGTAAATAGTGAAACTAGCTGGGCGAAGAAGTAAGTTGTATACAAACTTCATTACTCAAGTCTTGACCATGAGGAAGATCGAGTGAGTGCAGACGCTCATTTTTTCCCCCTCACACAGACATTCGCACAAACACATAAAATCGCAACTTGGTAATAAATCACAGTGGTCCTGCAGTGGAGCAGTGGAGTGAATCATTGTTTCTGTCCCGACGTTAACGCTGCAGAACTCTGACGCAGCCGGTTAGACAACAACCTGCTGACCTTTGGTATGCGTATGCACATGTGTGTGGTCACGGTCTACATACAGTAATAGTGGCTATTTATTAGCCAGACAGAGGTTGATAACACAGAGAAGTCTCTACATTTGTGGTGTTAAAGTGAGGTAATCATTTAGTATTTGGACTGGGTTGGAATCAGTTAAAAAAAAAAAAAAGCGGTTTGCTAGAATCACAGAAATAAGCTCTGCAAATCTACTGCAGCAGCCTGTGGTTCTGGCAACAAAAGTCTGCAAATGCGTTTAGGAGCAAACGGGCATGAAAACATGTAGCTTGATGCATTTTAAAATGTGAGTCAAGGTCTTAGCAGGGAATTAAACATAAAAGGCTTTGCGTCTGAGTGTGCTCGTGTGAGAGGCAAGCGTTGCCTTGCCGAGTCCGAGGGTGAGGTGAAACATTCCTTTCTTAGTGGTGGAGCCAGCTGTGTGATGCCTGTGGCCACACAAACACACTCACATGCCCAGATGGCAGCCACCTGTGCATTGAGGACTCTCCTTTGCCACCCACTGGAGTCATTATTGGAGATTTATGGTTTGTGATGGCCAGAGCACAGAGCAGCCAGATAACACCCGTAGAATATTCCTAAAAGCCTCCATCACAGCCCTTCTTATACTTTGCATGTGTTTGTGTGCATCTATGTTTAGGGAGGCATTTGGTAAACTGGAGATTGTAGGTTTCTTGCACCATCTATTTGTGCTTCACGGTTCGATGAATTAAAAGCAAAAAGGCGGCGTTAAAGGCTCCAGAAGGGTTAAAGATATTTGTGACATCCTGACAATGTCACTTTGAGTGTCTTCAAAGTGGGTAAAGTGGCCTTTAAAGATAACAGCAGAGAGTGGGTATCTCTGTTCTGTGGGCACTCTGTTCTAACCGTGATAGAAGAAAAAGAAAGAGCAGCTTAAGTCGGAGGAATCGGCAGCTACAGTTTCACAGAATGAGCGACGTTGGGCAAAATGCTGAAGTGAAAGAAGCTGGGAGGTAATGTACGATGTGTACTGACATTTACAGTCACATGGACGTGAGAATGTTGCTGTGACAGCTGGCCTGTATTTTTTTTTTCTAAATCATATAAACAGAAAAAAAAAAAGAAGCATGAAATCTAATATATCAAGCCAACTTTGATCTGAAGACTTGGTTAAAATAGGCCTGAAATCCTTTCCACTCTTGCAGTATCTTTGCTATGTATAGAGAAACGGCTGCAGGCAGGCTCATTTCAAAGCAGCTCTTCACATCAAACACAGTCTTGACTAACAGTTCTATTTTAGCCTTTGGACAAAATGGAAAATTACAATGAGAGGGGGAAAAAAAAAGGAATAACAGGTGCTGTGACCTATTACCAAAAAAAAAAAAAGAATGGGTTTTACTCAGGGCATGGGATGATAGGGCATATGTCATCATCTGAGCATCTGGGACTGCATAAATCACCTCATAAAAAAAAAAAAAAATCACACGTGCACATTCACAGACGCGTCATACCTCGGTGGCAGGGGTCCACACAGCGCCGCGCAGCAGTTGGTGAATATATTGCCATGGCTGTACGGGTTGTAGTTGTCCTTCCCTCTTTTAGAAGACCACGAGCCTTTTATCTGAACGAGACCACACAGCGTTATGAGTCACGCCTTCGGTGGGACAGACAAATAACTCAAGCGTCGCTGATAAACAGAGCAAAGACTGCTGTTGGTGCATTGTGGTGCTAAAAGTGCTCGTGGCCAAGGCGGTGATAAAATCCACAACCTTGGGCGTTATAACCAACCGAGCTAACCATCCTTGCTGACACATGACTCTCTCTCCGGTCTGACGGAGGTGAAAAGGATTCAGGGCTCAAGCTGCGAGCACATGACCAGAGTGAGTAAGGTTCTGCTTCCCTTTGATATCTAGTATTGTGCAATGCAAAAGCTGGAAAGTACAATAACACAGAAACACACACAAAGATGATGCACTAAATTAATAATTATTAACATTAATAACACAGAGATAACACTAATGCTACTTCTAGGTCACTGAAAATTTAAAAGAAAACCTATTTTCAAACGCTTCATCACGAACAAACCTCCAACGTTTTTGAGTCATTTTAATAACACACACAAGATGCCTTGTGATTTCCTTGATGTCTCATTATTCTGCAGTGTACATTTTAGATTACGTTACATGTGGGGTGCTTTTCATCATCCTGTCTTATTGTTCCTCGTGACTCCTCTCCTCTCGCGACCTGGTTCCGATGTCATGAAGGATCTTTGAATTACCTGAATAGGCTTCTGGGGAAACTTAGACCACAGAAGAACAGAAGAAGCGTACGCTACGCGGAAGTCTTTTATCATATGTGTATAAATGCCGTACTTTTGTGGGTGTCGCTTTGATTTGACGGGCGATACGATGGGGCAGGACATCATAAGTAACTGGTGTCGCTTATGACTGACGCTGTGGAACAAAGGATTTCTCATTTGGCAGCTTCAGCTCCTTTGTTTTGTTATTTCTCTTCTACTTCTCGCATCCCTCTTTCGCAGAGGAAGAGATGCGAGTGAGGGGAAGTGAGGAGCCACGCTAGCATAATGAAAAGCACCCCTGGTACATTCCACTTCCTGTTCATACTCACGTCTTCGTTGGTGGTCTGGTTGGAGCTGATCAGGTAGGTATGGAAGCCTGAGAGGCCCACTATGGACCAGACAGAGAAGAAACACACCACCACCTCCAGCACGGTGACGCCATTAGGTCAAGGAACAATCCTCTGCTGTTGATTTAATTTAATCTATTCTTAAACTTAGTGCAACAGACAATAATATGAAAGCCCACGCACACAACCCAGACCCATATGGAGACAGCATGGACACAAAAAAAAATGCAGTTGTAGCAGCTAGCATATTGACCTACAGCCTGAGGGCTGTCCTCCTCTTGCCAATACTTCCTAGTTACCAGTTCATTTGGCTGGGACTGCAGAACACTGCTCATTTTCTCTGCTCCACATAAAGCACAAAGCACAGACACTGTTCAAGATGAATCCTTCTGCCATTACAAAAATGAACCACAGTAACCCATACCGCATGGACTACATCTTAGAATACGGTTTCTAAAGGAGCATCTTATTCATAAATTGACATACACATATCCAGACGCTACAAATCCACGGCTTAGTACAACAAGTAAGAGCCTGAGGGCGTACTGAGGAAAAAAAAAAAAAAAATACTTGGTGGGTCAGTAAATATTACATCCTCAAAGACCACAAGGCAGTCTGTACTGTACCAGAAAGATCAACAAAATACCCTCACTCTCCCATTTTCTCTCTTTTAATCTTCTTCTTTCTCTCTCTTCCCAATCTCTTCCTCCGTAGCAAGGACAAAACATGTCATCATTCTTCTAGTACAAAAGGACTGCTACGATAGTATCGACTGCAATTCCCCTTTATTAAAGCCCTGTAGGACACAGGACGTTATCAGCTTGGCTTGGCACACATTTCTCTGCCGGAGAGTTATCTCACTCAGCCATAGAGAGAAGGGCAGAAAGAGAGAGAGAGTCAGTGTCACAACCCTATGCTCCGAGCTTGATTTGTGGATTATGAATTGCATTGGGTATCATTTTGAGTTTATCAACTAATTGACATTCACTTAGGAGAATCTGGTTAAGTGAGAGAAGAATCCCAAATAATTCGAAGCCCTTCTTTCTACGTTGCCATAAAGAGTCATGAGGTGCTTTATTACCATCTTTGATTTAAAGGTGGAATAAAATTCAGGTTCAGTTTTCTTCCTACCGAACCTTATGTGCAAAAGCCTGCAGCAGAGGCAACATTAAACTTAAATTATGATGGCAACGATTTACAGTTAAAAGCCAAGGTCAAATGGTGTGAAACTAAACTCTGCTCCAGTGTCAAAATAAAACATTTTACTTACTTGGACTTGCCACGGTAAATATCTCTGGTGTTGTGTGAAGACATTAAGTCGACTTACAGTGTATTTGTAACATCTACAGCTTAAGACGTCCGGCACACGTCTGCTATCTATCGCATCAACACGCTCGCGCTCGTATCAAATCTCCCTCACGCAGCATCTCTGTAGAGGGAGAGGGGCAAGTTAAAGCCAGATGAAATTAAAGAGCGGCTAAATCAATCGACGGAGACAGAGCGCGACCTGCCTTCTTGCGTGCTGCGTTATCCCAACGGAACGGGATTATTCGGACACACACAAGTCATGCAACTAGTATGACTCTGCAGAAAAAAGGCAGCGGCAAAGGATCGAAATGAAACATGCAAAATAAGTTGAACCTACTGAATCAAACTGTTGGTTCTCACTCAAGTTAGTCAAGGTAAAAGGAATACAGTGGTAAAAAAAAAATATGGGATGACAAGAGTACGGCAAAAACACTCTTATAAACACACTAATAACATAAAATGCAAGTAAATGCAAAAGGATATCTGGCAGGGCTGTCTTTGAGCGCGTTGAGGAACCCGCTTCGATGGGACACTGCGACTGGAGACACAGACAGAGTTTCCATTAGACCACAGTGCAGTTGTGTTTACTCTTACATATCTCGTATAAAATCAGCATTAAACACCACCCGCCTAATGGGGAACTTGTATCAGATATGTAGTGCTGGCCGCTACCTGCTGCAGACACTTGGGTGAAGTTTGAGATGAACTGAGATAGGCTTGAGTGTGCCCACTTAAATTGGAATTTAACTTCCAAGTGTGGAGAGTAAGAGGACACAGCCAGAAGACCACAAACACAGGCTGGCCCGCTGTATGCGGCAGTAGGAGACATCTCTATAGCTCCCATTAGCCAGACGGAGTGGCTACTTATTCGCTTATTAGAAAGACGTGTCAATTTTAAACTGCTGTTTACAAAATAAATGTTGAGAAGCGCTGTAATTACCTCTGATCTTGGGCATTGTCGAGCAGGTTTTATCACTACTGTACTGTGGTGTCTCTAATATGCTCTGACGCCCGGTGGGACAAAAGATAATAATAAAAATCACGGAATTAAAACTCCTATGATGCCTTTTTGTCAAACCTGACAGCACTTGGACTCAACACAGCATGGCTACAATCAAAGGAAAGAGAACAGCTAAAAGAGTATTAATCATCACTACAAGCTAATCTTGACCCATATTTCTGTCCCCTGTGCAGCATTGATCCGCTGACTTGTCATTTAAACACACACACACACACACACACACTAATGGGGAGCCCAACAGTCCGCTGCCTGCTCCCAGCTGGAAAGATGGTAACAAGCCAGAACGCTGCAGCATTTCACGACGCCCACTTGCAACCTGCTGGCTCGAAACACACCAAGAACACAGTCAGGAGGAGTGTAAGTCTGTGCCATGCCTGAGAGCACATGTCCTTTTCTTTTTTTTTTTTTCTCCTTCTCTTCAGCTACTTACGTAAAATGATGTGCGTGATGGCGAAGGCGAAGATGAAGATGGTGAGGAAGGAGAGGGAGAGGATGAACATGTAGAAGAAACGGTAGTTCCTCCTTCCCACGCAGTTCCCCACCCAGGGACAGTGGTGGTCAAAACGCTCTGCATGGACAGACGCAGACAGACGGAGGGAGAGTAAAAGAGTTTATTCTGGACACAAGGACAAACGCCTACAAGTCTTTTATGCCATCGCATTGCTGCCACAGTGATGCATCCCCTGATTAAATATGAAGTCTTTGTCATGTGTTTGTTTAAAAAAATAAATAAATAAAAAAGATATCAGGTTAAGCAACAGTGGTTGAGAAATCATGCTTCCCCAGCAGAAGCCTAGTTGTGTAAACCGTGCTTTCTTAATTCTGGATTAAGACAACTGCATGATGTTTAAAAACAACTAGGTTACATCAGTGCACAAATCTAGAACTGTGGGAAATTAGGGGAAAGGGGAAACGTCCCTCTGGGTCTTGGCATAATAATATACACATTTTTCACATAGCACGAGCTGGCTATTTATATAAACTAGCTAATAAAAGTTCGAGGCCTGCCGACATGACTGTGTAAGGCTGAAAATCGCCCCGTGCCACTGTGGGACCGTTTGAGGTTGAGAGGGTGAAAGAAGCACTTTGCTGGGTCAACAGATAAAAGTGACGCCATTAAGACCTCAATCAAAGAGTGTTTGAAGACAAAGAGAGGCAGAGAAGTTAAAAGTGTTGTCAATACGCCGTAAAGATCATACAGATGAGAGAGACTGAGGCTTTCCAGTATGTTAAAACTGACACGAGTCTGATAGTCACCTTGGTGTTATTGTGCAGCACAGAGGAGGCTTTTTCATCCAAATCTGTGTTGTTTAAATGAATAAAATGCCTAAAAATAAGTAAATACTCCCATGTATTCAGTTTGAAGTGTTCAGATCTTTGAAAAAACATAATGTGCTATGCTTTCCAATTAAAATTAGTCTGTGGTATTTGATTCAGAGGAACTGCAAACAGCTCCAGCACACTTATCATTTGCCTGATTGCTCTGAGAATGGAGGACTTATTGTTAGGATTTAATCAGCCTCAACTCTGTCGTCCTATCTGAGTGTGAACTACTAGCTGTGCACAGTGGTAGCTACTTAACTAATTAATCAGAGCCATTATTTGTTTAGTGAGGGGAAATGACCTGCTTTTGTCTCCATTAGTCAATGCCTGGTTGAAATGTGTCGGGGAAACGGAGCCTTTAGTCAGACGGAGGGGGGAGTCAAATCTGATTATCGCAAAAGTGTGCCGGAGGTCATTAATATTAGATAATCAACGACACCAAAACAGCAGAAAAGACTTTAGATTCATGCCCGCTTTGTCTTTAGACATCAATGAAAACGTCAATGCAGGGATGTATTTTATTATGAAACTCGAAAAAAAGAGTAAAGTCCCTCCAAACGACACGAGTCTGGTTTTAACTAGTGATGCACGATATTAAAATTTCTGGCCGATACCGATATTAAGATTTCTGATATCGCCGATAACCAATATTATCGATGTCGATATTCAATTTTTGTTCACACTGATAAATGGGTAAACACTGAGAAACTATTCAGAAGAAGCCCAAATTAGAACACAGTCTTCTTTATTACAGAACAATAATAAAACATATTTAAACATATTTAGGAGCATTTAAGTAAAAACATCTGTGAAATAGCAGCAATATCAAATGTAGAGACGAAGACACTAATGTTAGACCATCATTGGCTACATTTGTTTACTGGACCGATACCAATATATCGAAAAAACATTAATATCGGCCGATATATCGTGCATCCCTAGTTTCAACTTTTTAGATCAATCGTACACTTCATGGATCACGAGGAGTTAAAGGAGTTTGAAACAGCAGCCAATAAAAGGTTTTGGCAGCTCAGTGGCACTATCCTTCTTATGATGATTGTAATTCAAAACTAAAAGCTTAAAACACAGCTCTTAAAGTTTAATAATGAGCTAATATATTCTTACTTAGGTGTCAATATTCTTTTGATGTGTTTTTTTTTTTACATAGCAATGCAATTTCCCCAAGGGAATCATTGAAGCTTTATCTAATGTCCTCTAACAGCACACAGCCCCATAATCACTCCTAAAATAAACCCCTGAAATCAGTATTTGTAACACTTACAGTTAGAATCTAAACACAAACAGTCAGATCTTCTTATGCTGCTGTGTACAGTGTGAAGGAAATAACAGAGCGTGACTTCAAGGGAACTGATGTGTGTGTGTGTGTGTGTATCATAATTCTGTGCTCTTATAAGCTTCTTCTATCACTCCCCAAGGGATAACCCTCTTAAAAAGGAAGTGACTCCACCATGTTCCTATCCTCTACATCCACCAGGGAGGGCCGATCCATTCTGTCTCCTAACTTATTTAAGAGCTTGTTATCCCCCTGGCTTTTACAGCACCAGAGGCACAGAGAGAGAGAGAGAGGCAGTGAAGTCAAGAGTCAGGGGGAACACTCGTGAATTTTTTTTTCATCGCCACCGTGATGCCCGTTTTCAGTTTAAGAGCAAATGCCAATCCAGTTTGCTGCTAATGCTGATCATTTTAGAGGTAGAGGCCATGGTTCAAAAAGTCCAGAAAATAAAATGTAAGTTCTTTTCGTCTTGGTCTATTTCCCTGCAGCAGTATTCCTGCAGATTATCTCAATGCTGGGTGGAGACGAAACGCTTTGAGAGTAGGCTGGAAAGTATTCTCATGAAAGAGACACCAGTTACGACGGACATTCATCAGCAGAGTTCATCCCTCCCACCCACCTGCCATCCGGACAGTCCAACTATGCGTCACTTTCTCCTTTTTTAACTTCCCCTCCCATCTGCGGTTCACATCTCCCAACTGTGATCAAAACATTGTGTTTAAACCTTCTAATCGAGGATCTATACTTTCAAAAATGACGCCGCTCTGTGTCAATGTTTGATTTGGAAAAAAGCATCTGCCGCCATTGTTCTGCTTTAAATAAATAACATTTATCTCATCTTGTGTTTTCAGAGCAACATAGCAACACAACTTCAAAGAGCGAGCCTCATTAGTCTCATTTCATAGTTTGATCGTGCACTTGAAATGTGCACAAAACCCACCTCTGTGTAACGACACACATAGCCTGTTTGCCAGAATGACTGCCCATCCATCTTTGTGTTCGGCTCCCAGTCTGTCTTCCTTCCTGCCAGCGTGCATCTGCTGCATCTGATTACCACCTCCTCATCTTTTTTTTTTTTTTTTCCCTGTGTTTACAACTTCCTCATCTTTGTCTCCCAGGTTTTCAGTCAGCTCCGCTTCTGACAGGAAAATAGACATTCAAAGGCAGAGCTGTCTCTGAAGAATGACGAGCACAAAAAACCCTGATGAGGAAGATGCAGACGTACCGGGTCTCTGAATCTCTGTCTCCATCTTTTAGTAATTGCCTTGCTGTGCTCTTCACTTTGTCCCCAGAGACTGAGCATGTGGCTGTGAAGAGCAGCAAAACTCAACCATTATGCTGCTCTTTTTTCCCCCCTCTTTCTATTGTTCTCACTGTAACTATTCCATCCCGGCTGTGTTTGGATGTTGATTCCTCCAGGCATACAGCGGTGTGTACTGTTTATTCCTTGTAGGTCTGCATCGCAAAAAGCAACATTTACCTTGGCTTGTGTTCTAATATACAGTCTTTGTAGAATCAGTATGAGCATGATTTGTCTGATTTCTGTGAATAGTGTGTGTGTGTGAGAGAGAGAGAGAGGTTGGGGGAAGGTAGGTGAACTCTGGCAGCATTTTATCACAGGAAATGTGCTATTTTTAAAAAGGCCTAAATACTAGCCATACTGCTGCTTGCCTATCATCAGATTAAGCTTTATAGATCTTTACCGAGCTTACTCTGGCCTTTTATTAAAACACATGAGCCAAAAACTGCTGACACCTACGTCTCAAGATCATGTAAACGTAAAAAAAAAACTCCCAACAACCGGAGACCGTCGTCATAACTCACCCACACAGTTGTCACAAAGGCTGCAATGGGAGGCACGTGGTGGTCTGAAGATCTTGCACGTGAAGCAATACTTCAGTTTGACTGTCTGGCCGTTGATGACCACCTCCTTGGTCCTGGGAGGAGGCCGGTAGCCGGTACCGCCGTTAGCTACATCTGTGGAGAGAGAGAGGGGAAAACAAAACAAGTGAGAATTCCAGTGGATAAACTGTTAACACATTATTAATGCAGAGCTCCCACACGCGCCGTTACCGTGTTCATGTGGTGATATTGGTGTACATGTGGTATGAATATTTCAGTGGCATAAAAATACTATTTATTCGGGAAACCTGTGTGTGGGATGTGGAGACTGAGAGTAAAATGCAGATTTAAAAAAAAAACAAGGAGCCTACGTTACGAATTGTGGCTTTAGTGGTAGTATTGTGTTGAAAGAACACAAGGAAACTACAGTAATCTAAGAGGTAATTAGCTACAACAGGAGAAAACTGACAAAGCAAGATTAGAAAGAAATTTAAATACTAAATAAATTCAGTACTACATGGCAAAAATATTTCAAAACACAATAAAAAATTTTTTTTTTAACAAAACAACACTAACATTTACAGCAGTGGTTTTCAAACTGGGGGTCGGGACCCCATGGTGGTCCCAAGATAATTTCAGGGGGTCGTCAGATCATTGTATAAAAATAAATAAAGCCCACATTCATCAAATAAATTTGTATTACGGCTGTCAAAATTAAAAGTGTATACTTCTTCCCACTCCTTTTTCGAACTTGTTAATATTATGATTTGATTATGCGACATTATTATTATTTTTTGTTCTTTTTAAAATGATTTTTTGTTTTTGTATTTTTTTCCCCTTTCAAATAAACTCAATTCATTCATTAATTGAAAAGAAAATCAACATGTTGATGTAAAGAGATTAATCTGTGGAGTTAACACATTCATTTTTAACGCATTAATGCATAAACAACAAAGTTATTACTCATGCCACATTAAAAATTCAAATTGGGGGATCACAAACACAAACTTATCTTGAGGGTTGTGGCTCAAACTGTTTGAGAACCACTGATTTAGACTATAAACTTTTTATTTTACACCCTATCAAATGTTTTTTTCTCTTTACTGGTGCAGCACTACTCCGATAATAACCTCTACTTTACATATTGGACGACTAACGCAGCTCCAACAACAAAGAGCAGTTAATAATTGTGTGAAGGGTATAGATTTTACTAATGGCTGGCAGATCTACACCGGCAGTGCACTGGGATAAATATCACGCTGCTTTCAAAACCTTTTGAAAATGGAAATAGTAAAATCAGCCACCTGAGACGCCACAAAAGGCGCAGATAATACACGTCTTTGTGTGTGTAGGATGAGTCAGTATTATCCACTCGATTTTACTGTCTAGAAGCAATGTGTTCGGGTTGTCTGGTTTAATTTGTCTCGAGATGGATGCACCTCAACGAGGCTATGATTAAATAAAAATCTTCACTGATCTGCTGCTATCTTAAGCTCTGGTAAAAAGGTACATGTCATGATAGGAGAAGCTTAAAAAGGTTAGAACACGGACAACCCACACAGCTCATTAATTTTAATTAGCTCCACCATTTTAGCTCCTTTGTGCGAGCTATACAGCCTCTGCGGGTCAAACTTGACAACCAGAACCAATCTTTTGCGTGGCTGACAGAACACGCTAAAACCATCAAGTCGTGTCTTTTTCTGCATAAAATGAAATCAGCTGTTACGGTGACTTAAAACTGCAACCGAGTTCACTGAACAACACAAGTCTGGAACTCAACATGCACTTAACACCGCAATCCTCAGACTGGGATGAAAAGAAGAAGAAGAAGTAGAAATGGTGGCAAATTGCACTGAGTGGCTTTTGGTGGAGTAAGACAGCAGTGATGACGGGCTAAACGGTAATGATGGGAGCAATGATAGTGATTTTCAAGCCATAAAAGGTAAAGCCTGTATCCTATTATTGCGGTGCTTGCTTTGAGCACTCTCACGCATGCTGGGAGTAGAAGATAGTGTGTGTAGGAAGATCATTTTGAGATCATTTACACAGAGGCCTGAAGCATTGCTAACAGAGTGGTATGTATGTGTGTTAGTGGTGGTGGGGGGTTTGTGGGGACTGAGAGGTTTGTGTGGGTGTTTGACATTTCTAAAGCAGAGCAGAGGAAACGCAGCCTGTGAGTTCTTTTTTTTTCTATTGAATTCGTCTCTATTGTGATCAATGCCTACAGAGCGCTCCACTCTCTTCGTACTCCTTCTGTCCCTCTGCCCTCGCAGCACAGCGCATTGATGGAGGCAGAAACGAGAGGGAGCGCCAGAACAATTGGGAGCACAATTCAGGTTCCGCCGTGTTAAAATCTCCAGGAGACGCTCCATTGTTACGGTGCTCATTGCGCAGTAAAATCTACAGTAATATTAGCTCCTGTCAGGTAAAATAAAGCGCTATGACAACCAACTTGTGAAGCATCAGAGGAACCTGTGTGTTCTGAGATCTCTAAGCGACATTGGGAGGTAGAGAAAGATGCATATTGGCATATTTATGTCATATCAAACAGAGTAATTAAAAGATGCTGACGGAGGAGATAAAACTCAACAGTAGCTCTCAATAATCATATCAGGTAATTAACACCCTGAACCCCAAAAACCTGCCAGCAGGTTTGAAACGCATGTTATTCCTAAATGTCACTATTTATCATAGCCAGAAACTGAAACAAGAAGAATTTCACTTCTTCAACAGTCCTTGAACTTTCGGTTTTGGTGAGAACAAAACAAACATATCTGAGCTGGAAATCAGGACATTTCATCATTCTGAATGTCTCATTTCTGAAGAAAAACCAAAAAACAAACATCTGCAGTAATTAGATTTTGCAAAAAAAAAAAACAACCCTAAAACTGAGAAGCAATGACCAACAGTCACACAACAAAAGTTTGAGTCCTTTTTGGCTGAACTGCAGACTGTGTTGACACCAAGCAGAGACAAGCATGGAAATAATGTAAAAATGCATCCATAGTGTGCAGAGCCACCATGTTTTTCAACTGTTAGTAACAACTGTGGGCACTTGGAGAAAGCTTGCACATGTTGATTCCATAGTTTAAATATAAATATCTATATTTTTGTATGATTATAATCATTCTAACTTTGCTGTTCTGCACAAAACCCATTTTGGAGCTCTCCTTACTTCTGATGATGGTCGTACTATTTCCAAAGAGGTGCAGGACTTTATACTTCAGAGAAAACTGAGCACATAAAGAGTAAAATGAGTGACATGAGAGAACAACGCCCACGAGTTGCTTTGAGGGGTCCAGGGGGATAAACACAGTTTTGTGTGCGTCGGCCTCACTTGTTAATGAACAGTTAATACGACACACTAACATGATCCAACTTAGGTTTCTATGGCTACGAGACCAGCAACAGGAGTAACGAGCATGAAATAATGCATGAAGATTTCCAAGCCAATAATGGGTTTTCCCATTCATTGCATACCGCCGACATACTATGAATACAAAATAAGGCAACACAATCAGTTGTGGCAGCAGACATGTGGCACCACTCATACAGTCTCGGTGACTTGCAGACCAACAGTACAACAACCCTTACATCAGTCTTCAGAACGGATTTTAATAATTTATGTAGATACATATTTTTTTGGGGGGGGCTTTTGACTTTATTTAGAGCAGTCGAGAGACTGGAAAGAGGGGAAAGGAATAGGGAGAGACCTGCAGTAAAGGGACGTGAGCGGGATTCGAACCCACGACCACTGTGTCAGGGAAATATAGCCCCTGTTTACTGGTCGCCCGCTCAACTAGGTGAGCTGTAAGGGCGCCCAGGATTTTTATTTTAAATGTATAGAATGCTTTTCTTACTGTAGGCTCAAACTCTTCTAAAATTGTAGAAAAAGAAACAACATTATACCATATAATTCAATCTAATACACTGACAATGTATAGTACAAGTTTATAACAGTCAGTTTCTGACCTTCTCCATGCGGGCAACAATAAAAAAGCAATACTATGACATTTAAAATCAGTAAAAAATGATGTTATTGTTCACTCTCTGGGGGACAAAAACATGACAAGGTAGGATCAGTTCAACAGCTCATCAAACTCTGGTTTTAAAGTTTGTTGTAGAGTTGAATCAGTACATTTAGGGATGAACAAAAATGAAACTATATCATCTTCTCATATAGGGCTGCAAGGTGGAGCGGTGGTTAGCACCGTTGCCTCGCAGCAAGAAGGTCGCCGGTTTGCGTCCCGGTGAGGACACCTGGGATCTTTCTGCATGGAGTTTGCATGTTCTCCCCGTGCAGCGTGGGTTCTCTCCGGGTT